AGAGAGGAGAAGTCAGTGTTGGGATTCAAAGCTTCAAAAGACAAGCTGAATTCACTCTTGTTAAGAGCTAATACTGTTCATGATTTTACAGGGAAGCAATCCTCATTTACCCTTCCAAAAATCCCAGGGCCCTTAAGAATTATCCTAAATCAACTCTACCTATGTTCTATAAATATCATAACAAAGCCTGGATGACAGCACATCTGTTTACAGTATGGTCTACTGAATACACTAAGCCGACAGTCTACTGTTGAGACATGTGATTCAGGGAAAAAAGATTGCTTTTTGTTTTGTTTTGTTTTTTTTGACAGAGTTTCACTCTGTTGCTGCGGCTGGACTACCATGGCATTATCATAGCTCACAGCAATCCCAAACTCTTGGGTTCAAGTGATCACTTTGCCTTGGCCTCCCAAGGCTAGGTCTACAGGCATGTGGCACCACACTTGGCTAGTTTTCTGTTTTTTCTTCATTTTTTAGTAGAAACAGGGGTCTCACTCTTATTTAAGTTGGTCTTGAGCTTCTAAACTCAAGCAATCCCCCTGCCTTGGACTCCAAGAGTGCTAGGATCACAGGTGTGAGCCACCATGCACAGCCCAATATTGCTTTCAAAATATTAATACTAAACACAACAATAAAATAAGTGAGGTGAATGTTACGTTAACCAGTTTGATGTGAACATTCCAAATCATATATAAAATGAGCACATTGTACCCCATAGATGCAGTAATGTACACAGCTATGATCTAATGAAAAAATATCACCACTCATTGACAATGCACATAGTCACCCAGAGCTCTGATGGGGATATCCAAGGAGGGTAATATGGCTTTCATGCTATGAATACCTCTATTCTATAGCCCATGGATCAAAAATAATTTTGAATTTCACATCTTATTATTTAAGAAATACATGTTGTAAGGCTATAGCTGCCATAAATAGTGATCCCTCTGATGGATCTGGGCAAAGTAAATCAAAAACTTTCTATAAAGGATTTCCATTCTAGATGCCATTAAGGACCCTTGTAATTCATGGGAGGAGATCAATGTCAACATGAAGAGGCATTTGGAAGAAGTCCATTCCAGCCCTCACACCCTCCTGGGTGGTATACAGGGCTCCAGACTTCAGTGGAGGAAGCACTACAGACATGGCGAGAATAACAAGAAAACCAGAATCAGGAGTGGAGCCTGGAGATGTGGTGGAATTGCTGCAATCTTGGGATAAGATTTTAAGAGTTGCTTTTTATGGTGAACAAAGAAAGGGGTTTTTTGAGAGAAATTCTACTCCTGATGAAGATGCTGTGAACATTGTTGAAACAGCAGCGAAGTATCTAATACATGAAGTTAGCTACAAAACAAGGGCCAATTTTGAGAAAAGTCAATAGATGCCACAAGCTTCATGGGTGTCTTATTTTAAGAAACTTCCCCAGTCACCCCAACCTTCAGGAACCATCTGACGAGTCAGTGGCCATCAATATGGAGGCAGGACTCCCCACCACCAAAAGACGAGGACTCACTGAAGCCCAAGATGACTGTTAACATTTAAAAAATAATGGGCAGCACCTGTGGCTCAAAGGAGTAGGGTGTTGGCCCCATATGCCGGAGGCAGCGGGTTCAAACCCAACCCCAGCTAAAAACTACAAAAAATAGAAAATAATAATAAAAATAATAAACATTTTATAATTAAGGCATGTACATTTTTTTTTGACATAATGCACACTTCACAGAGTACAGTATAGTGCCAACACCACTTGCATATGTACCAGGAAACCAAAAAATGTGTGTGATTTGCTTTATTAAGGAAGTCTGAAACTGAACCTACAGTATCCCTGATACTAAAATCTCTATGCCTGTGTATGAAAAACAGATAATTAGAGAACAATTTCTCAGAACCAGAAAGCCACAGTGGAAGGGAGACATCCTAATTAAAGAAAAAAGATAATTAAAAGAAAAAAAGAAACTCTGAAGGGCATTATGCCTTTGCTCATAAAACTGATTTGTTTGTGAGGTGAGTTCTGGAAAAGCCAAATTCTGTATCAAGTACAAGTTTGCAGCTTGTGCCAGATGTCCTCCCAGGGTAGCTCAACCACAGAAGTAGATTACATCTTGCGTTCCAATTTGCAGCCATTAAATGCAATTCTAATATGGTGGCAAGGACGGAGTGTTTTGTTGAGCTCTTTCTAGGTGCTCAGGTTTTCGTGTTCCTACAAACATAGTCTGCTCTTTTCTGGTGAAAAATAAAGAGCATGATGACTCCCAGTCAGGACCCAGCACTTGTGCGTGAAGACCCATGACAACCGTACTTCCCCGAACTGGCCCTGTCACTCCTGCCCCCGTATCCAGATTGAGCATATGTGTTACTTGATGCAATTGTTGTCATAGAGATGATTCCTGTTTGTTAAATAAATGAAACAAATAGTTACAGAAAACTAGACAATGTAAACTGCACATGTGTAAATAAGTTATTTCCTTTCAAATGCCAAATGTCCCCTCTTTCTTTTTGCCTTTCTATGGAACTTACATAGTTTTCACTGAGAATTTTAGTCAGTGAACATAAAGTCAGAAAACGTAAAGAAACAAGCCTGTGTTCCATCTGGATGCAAAGAAAAGAGGGGAGGTTATGGTGGTGGTGGTCCTGGGCAGGGTGATCACAGAATGAAGTTCTAGAAGCACAAACTTGATGACGTACACAAGGTCAGTCAATTTGCGTCATATCCTAGAGGATGAAGCTGCAGACACGGATCAGAATTGGAAATACGAAACTGAAAAGTTGTTTAAAAACTAAAATAGCTTTCTTTTTATATCTGTTCCCTTTAACAGAGACAATCATGGGACTAGACTATAACGTTCTCCTTCCTCAGTGTCTTCAAGCAGGTACACCTGCACCATCTCTATCATTAACTCTCTTAATGTTTTAATTTGATCAGTCAAATTAAATTTTTTAATTCTCAGTCCTCTCTTCCTTCCCTGACTCTAGGTCAGCCTACAATCAAATCTTTCCTGGGCAACAATTTCTAAATGTCCTTCCTGAATTCTGCCACCTTCATCTTTTATTCTGAAATGAAAAAAAAAGTTTTTCTTAACCTCCTGCCTGCCTTTTTTTTTTTTATTTGGTCTAACACAGAGAAGCACTCTGCCTTAGGCGAGTGCATATAGCATAGTGCTGTCTTCACAGCTCACCACAGCCTAGAACTCACAGGCTCAAGCCATCCTCCTGCCTCAGCCTCCCAAGTAGCTGAGACTACAGATGATACCACCACACCCAGTTAATTTTTCTATTTTCAGATAGAGATGGAGTCTTTCTCTTGCTCAGGCTGAATTTAAACTCCTGCCCTCAAGTGATCCTCATTCCTGGGCCTCCCACAATGCTAGGATTACAAGTGTGAGCCACCACGATCATCCTAACCCACTCCTATAGTTGAACATATCCTTTTTACAATATTTTTACACAGATTTCTATCTCAGCACCTTTAACTTTGTTTTGCACCAAAGATGCTTATTTACATGTCAGTCTTCAACAAGAACAGACGCTCCTTTTGGCCAAGAATTTCAAATTATTTTATTTTTCACAATGATTTTAGCACACAGTATGATGAATGTTTGTGGAATGACTGAGTGAGTGAATAAGAGAATGGGTGGATGAATGAATGGCACAGAGCCTACAGGTTACTTTTCCTCAGTATTTTCAGTTGCATGTGGCCACAAGAAGGAATCCTAGCAGTCATAGATGACAGCTTGGGTACAAGGAAGGTAAGTGACACTATTGATTAAAGGTGTCTGCAAACCAAGATACAAGCGCTGAAGTCATGATGCACAGAGATTTTGAACTAGGACAATGATCGAAAAACAGCATAACAATATTTTCTTTAAAGCGTAAAATAATGTTTGAGATGATGGACATGCTAATTACTCTCATCTGATCACTATGCTTTCTGTGTAATCAAAACATCACTATGTGTCCCCTAAATGTGTACAATTATTATACGTAGTGTGTCAACTAAAAACTTAAATTCAAAACAAATCACAGAATAAGATAGCTCTAGATTTAAACATATCTTCAGTTCCTAAAAGTGGTACTGGGCCCATTCTTTCACCTTTATGAGCTCACTCTTTCATACATCAGATGAAATCGTCAAAGCGGGCAGCATGCCTAGAACTATATAGAGGCCATGTGACTCACACATGTTCAATCAAAACCTATGAAAAAAATTTGATTCAAAGTTGTTATTAGACCCAGAAATAAATTAATAAACGCTCATCCCAGAGTCACACACTCAACACTTCAGTTTAAAAATGTTTTTGGCAGTTATCTAAATAACCATACTTAAAAAAATTCTTTTGAAAGGCAAGAAAACATTTTTGTGGGTAAACACATTCACACTCCAAAGTTATTACAGTCATGGGTTCCTGTCCTGTGGGATTTGCATGCACGTGGATACTGGGGAAACAGTCGAGTTTCTTATTACCAGTGGCTGGATAATTGAGGATTTTACTATCCTAGTCAGCCATTCTCTACAGAGAGGTGGTGTGGGTTTGACCACACTCAAAAATTAGTGCCAGCCATTGGTCCTTGGAAGGAGCACAAGGTAAAGAGAAAAAGCTCTTAAACCAGGTCTGGATGTCATAGTAGCATCCTTGGGGCTTCTCTTTGGTCTAGCAGCAACTGTTGTGGCTTTCAGGTAAAGACATGAACTCATGGTGGTTCTGTAAGATCTTGCCAAGATCCCTGATCCAGTAAGAGCTATGAAATAAAGCAGCGGCATTACAATACTTTGAAAAGGATAACTTTCCACTGCATGAAAGTTCAGCTCTGTTTCACAATATTGCCTAAAAGCAAGGAGATACTTACTCACTAACATGAAATGTTGGTATTGAGAATTAGAATATCTCTTTCAATTTCCATGCTAATTATTCCTGATTAGTTTATTTACCCTTAGAACATCATTAACGTAACCACTGAAGTTCATAAAATCAGTAGGGATTCAAGTAAAGAAATAAACAAACCTCTCAAAATTCCCTTTGCGACAATGGGCAGGGAAGTCAGTCTTCTCAGCCATTTGATGTCTTCCCAGCTGATCGATGGGTCTATTGCTTTAGCTACATAGGCAGCAAGTCCACTGTTGTCTCCAAAATTTTTCTTAGGAGAAAATGCTAAGTCGTTGGTTTCAAAGTTTTTCATCCTGAAATA